TATATATATATATATATTCGGAATAAGTATCCTTTTCACACTGACAAACTGCATTATTACAGTATAAAAAAAATATGGTCATTAAACTATGACATATACAGTATGTTATAGGATAAGTATGGAGATTATATATTTGATTTGGGTTGGAGCCTAAATCAAATAAATATGACATTTCATATTATAGAATGTTATAGTCAATCTTGTACAGTTTCCTGCGTTTCAATCATAGTGTGTGTCCTTTATTTAAATTATTTTAACAAATAACTTTATATTGTAGATCCTAGTTATATTGTATTTATTGTTTGCTATCCCTTCTTTAACATACAAAAGCCACACCTCTTTCGAAGTAGGCTGTATAAAGAGGGAGCATTATAGATGATCTTCCAGTCCGTCTGTAATGCTTATACTATTTACGTAGCTCCATTTTTGATAAACCTGGGGTCATTTTGATATGGGTTTTGAGGTTTTTATTATTTTTTCTTTATAACTGGTAGTAATGCTACATGGGCAGCAGAAGCCCGGCTGGTTGCTATTTCAGATCAGCTGTGAATTTATCAGGGCACGATGTGGCGTGACTGGCTCAAGGTGAGCGTTCCACTTAGATGCTGAAGGTTACTGCTGTGGAAGTGATTCATATACAGACACAAGGATGTGACAGATATTGAGAAATCACTGCAATCTGCTCCCCACTTGGCCAAATGTTGTTATCTGGGATCCAGTATTCAGACTTGTGACGGACTTAAGATGCATCTCCCTGTCTGCAGGAATAAAATCTCAGGTTGAAAGTTAGCTTTTTTTGTGTGACTCCACCTAGAAATGGTGCTGCATGGTTTTCTATGCGAAGAACAGGACAGATGCTTGACATTTTACCTATTTTTTACAATGCTAGATTAAAAACTGTAACATATTTAATATATTGTATATAATGCACTTTCATATTATTTATTTGTTTTGTGCTCATTTTTATTTGAAAGCTGCATCCTTTTGACATATATTTAACCTGTACTAAAGCAAATCTAAAAGGTTACCATGCATCTTCCTTTTCTTCCAAAGTGCCCCTGGGCCCTCCTCAAATCCTGAGGGCTCAGTATGAATATAGCTGCTACCAGCACTGACACTCATTGCCACTCCTACACAGGCATGTGTGTTGCAGAAGTATATGGCAGAGCTCCAACTCTAGACCTGGAAAACAATATTTGAACATCACTATCCACTCCCAGGTCCTGGAATCCCCAAAGGGTAGGCAGATCTAGTTCACTACAGCCAGATTTAAAGTGGACCTGCAGGTTCTTCTCCCCATTAAGAACTTCAGAGAGCTGTGCTCCGAACCAGTGAACTCACTGGCTTACATTTTTGTAGGATCATACACAAACTGTAGCCACTGGGAATTAGAGAACGGTGCAATCCTTAGCTGGTAAGGTGTGTCACATGGCTGAAATGAAGTTCACAATTTTCATGTTTGCATGGTATGTACTCTTAAAGTAGTATACATCTCTCAAACTTTTTTACAATAATAAATCCAGATCAAACACATACACAAGTATTCCTTTACATTTTTGCCCGAGCACTTAGTTAGTCATGCTGGCTCCAAATCTCTCAGCTTGGTTTTCCTGAACTTCCTATCAAGTAAATGATCACAATGAGGGACAGAGCAGTCTGCAGCAGCTGTTCATCTACTGGCCTGGACAAGGAAGGAGGGGGAGCAGGGAGGAGAGTGGCTTACCTTACCGTGCTTGTGTCTTTGTGAAGCACACACACGGGTGGCTCCATAGGACCCTGCAGGGGAACGGAGCCACTCTAAAACGGGACCAGTGCTCAAGGGGCCAGTTATATTTCTGCAGGAAACTAAAACTTTTAAACATCAAGGAGCAGCATCCATTGTAAATTGATTTTAATTGGCATCTGAAATAGCTTAAACTGTTTGGCTTTAATAGCACTTTAAAACTTGCAGCTCATCCACTGTTTACCCTCCACCTAGTTACAATGAAATATAATGACATTTTATTAGACCTCACAATTTTGGTGGCCCAAATTGTGTATGTTCACTTCCAAAATTGTTTCAGTTGGATAACTTTTTATTTAGCTATGATACATCATTTTTGGTACAACACCTTCTCTTCCTGCCTGCCAGAACATTATGTGGAACAAGGATGAAGCGTGATAGTTTAAAAAATGGAGGTACTGTCCTAAAAGAGTGAAAAAATGAAGGGATGTCACCAGCACACCAATAATATTGAAGTTCAAAGTGTTCGTTTATTGGAACATCATGTCACCTGAGC